TTGTTTATTAGTGATAAAACATTAAACAAAGTTCATGCATGTCACATTTTGACTCTGACAGTTGTCAAAATGTGACATACCCAAACTTTGTTTAATATTTCATCACCAATAAACTACCTTGAAACAAAAAAGAATCAAATTAAAGTATTTTTTTCTTCTAAAACAAATGACAGGTTTTGACAGTTCTGTCTTTTTTTTTTTCAATTTTTGAATTCAGAATTTACATACAAGTTAAAAATGTCAAATGACATCATGCAATATTGAAAAATGGAAATGATGAGTGCTGCCATTTGGCAGGGTTTTGACAGGTGTCAAAATGGTTGACATTTTTCGACTTAACTTGGTCGACTTAGTAGAAATAAATTTTTAGTTCATCAAAATCTGCCATAGTGACTCTGCTTTGGAATATAAGATTCCAATATTTAACAGCTAACCACGCCTCACCTGTCATATATACAGGGTTGTGCCCATGGTAAAAAATGTTGCTTATGGCATCCCCAACAACATATTTAAATTTCGTCCAAATATCACGGGTAACCAATTTCCATTTAAATATTGCGGGGTCCTTTGAACACAAATAATCAATAGTCTTAGATGAATAGTTGTCCTAATACGCGTAGTAGAACTAATGTGCATATTCGAGCCATAGGAAAGTAACAAATTCGAAAGTAGCACTGTGTCCAAGTTATGCAAATCTCGAAAGTTATTATTTAAGTCACCAGCTAAAACAATCTTTGCATCAACAGGTATCCCAGACAACAAGCAATCAAGTTTATCAAGAAATAAGGCGACATCACCACTAGGTGGACGAAAAATACATAAAATATATACATTAATACGTTTACACAAACAAACTGAAAACTCAAACACCCTTTCAGTCAACAACGAATCAAATTTATCTAGACAGATCAGCAAATTAGGGCCAACTACTGTTTTTTAGCCATAATAATTGTGCCCCCGTGGATTGAATTACCTACTTCTACAAAACAAAGATATAGGTACATAATTGTCAATTAAAAAACATTCATTGGGCTTAAGCCAATGCTCAGTTAATAAAACAAAATCTGGAAAATTATAGGATTGCAAGAGCAAAAACAGTTCGCCAGTCTTACTTCGTAATGATTGAACGTTCAACAAGCAAAGGGAGAACCCTCTGTCCAATGCACAATCAGAATCAACGTCACTCCCAATAGTTAAATGTGACGACGAAGTGCCTTGTGCATTTCCATCTCCAGACAAAGTATCTATGAAAAATGATCATCCTGCACAGCCCCAATACTAGTATTATCCTTATTAGAGGCAGTCGAATTACTTTCAAGTATTACATCCACATCACCACCATCACACTTCTTACACATAAATTGCATTGAGTGCCTATGGATTTTTTATCATCTTCATGACACAGGGTTCCTACAGTTAAGTTGGATTTGGACACAAAGACACCAATTTCTACATACAAGCTTAAAAGTTTACATAAATATTTTGTGCTATGCCTATAACGCTTATTTACTTTAAAATTTTCTATAATTCTAATTGAATAGTGGTGCACTCTGAAAAAACTAAAATACTCATGCAGTTCTCTATTTAGGACCCTGTTCTGATATAAATCAATAGGTATTATATTTAAGATAAAAAATAATATTCGCAATTTTACTCAAAATTCTAAGTTGTTTGAGGAGAGGCAGCGCTGTTTGCTGATTAATATTAAGAGCAATAATAATAAGTCATTCTGATTGTATGATGTTGTTTCTCTAATAACCCCATAGCAAATCTCACCCAAGGGTGCATTAGAGTAAACAACGCCTCTGATATCCTAGAGCCTCTTGTTCAGATGAACATCCAAGAGGCAAGAAATACCTCTTGCTGCTTGATCTCCTATAACAAGAATCCTCCCCTTATTCTGTGTGCACTTGGCATCACCACACTCAAGTGGAGGAGAACCTAGAACCTCCTACTTTGTTGGCGATGGGAGCCAGTTGTGATGTGTCAGCCGGAGTTCTTTAATTCACCAGGAAAGACACATGAAGAAACTGCAGCTGACCCGGAGACAGTGGAAAATCTTGATGAGTTTGCTAGCTCGTATAACTCCTTATTTGCCATTTTAAGGTCCTTGGCATACATGTCATTTTCCTTCGTCAAGGTTTCTATGCTTGTCATAAGATTGTTTTTAAAACTCTTAAGTTCATACATTTCCTTGATGAAACTTTTTATTTTATTCTGCAGGTCCTGGATCTCAGCTAGCAATTCCTTGTTTTTCTCCATAAGCTTTAAAAGATCCTTATTCAAACCCCTTTTTTCCTTTTCAAGACTTTTTATCTTTTCCTCAGCATGCTTATCGGCGGCAACAGCTGACACTTCAAAATCCACAAACCTCTTCCGAAGTAGCTAAATAAAATTGTCTTTGTCTTTATTGTAAGTCTTCAAACACGTTATCTCAGTCATCATCTCTTCCCTAAGATTTTCTAGGTCTTAATTAATTGAGCATTTGGTTGTAAACTTTTCATTCACTCGAAATCAAAAATTTGAAGTTGCATTATACCAATATCCACCATCATTTGTGGTGTGACCATGGTCCTGGATCGCATTCGCTGCACTTATATACTATCATGGTATGTGTAGCAGTGGCAAGACTAATACTGGCGAGAAGGGGTTAAATTATAGATGCTGTTGGGTGTTGGTACAATGTTATTTCAATGGTGGATCAAGCCCAAAGGGACAAAGAGCAGCTGAATGCTCTCTTCAATAATTTTGATTTGTGTGTTCCAGATGAAGACAATATCAACATCATCAGGCAGCTTCTTGGACATAAGTTGTTTCCAGAATATTAATAGCTGAATAAATGTATGTTTCGTGTATTTCAGATGAAGCTTCCTGGACATCATGAGCCCCTTCAAGTTGCTTCCAGAACACTGTAAACCCTAAAACAAGATTTCCTTTCCCTGTTCCTAAACCGCATTGTGTTGATTTTCATGTTTTTCACAATATGTTTATGAGGATTTTATGCTTTTTGGGGTAGAATGCCCTGGACACCGTTGGATATTTAATTTTTTTCAGGGTAGGATATCATTGGAAGCTGAAATAGGTAATTTCTAAGATTTTCACATTGAATTTTCATTAACATAATAGTATATTGTGTATTTAGGTGGAAAAGTAACACATTCTCGGCCGACGGTGTAACTTGACGGGCGAGGCGTAGCCGAGGCCGGCAAACACCGAAGGCCGAGAATGTGCTTTTTCACCAAAATACACATACTTTTTTTTTCAGCGATCTATTAAATATTTGTTAAATGTTTTTCTTTTTGTTTCGGTCGGTTGTCAAACAATTTTTAGTTTGTCAAACTTTTTATGAATTATTTTCATTAGTTGTAGTGTTTTTACTTCTACCCAGTTTTAGTTCAGGTAAGTTTTATCTTTATCATGGCGTCAATCCCATTGATGATGAAATTGATGTGAAGACAAACAGAAAAAGTTCAATTATCATTTATATATGTACCTGAAGGCCGTTTTACAGCTTGCAAGAAAACTTGCACGTCGTTTTACACCTTGCAATTTGACTTGTTTCTTTCTCTAACCTTAACCATACTTTTTTGTTTTTAATGTTGTGTTGTTGATGTTTGCATTTTCCAAAAATAAAAAAAGTGATTATAAGTCGCTATAAAAAGAAGAAAGCAATAGCAGCAACATTAAGCATCATAATTGCTAAAAATTCCCCAGCTTGCACGAAAAGCTTCAAGAAAAATGGCACCAAACCGATTGCATGCAATGCCATTCAAGTTTCAAGAATCTTGCAGAAACCAATCAGCTGACGCACTTCTGCGCATGCCCTCGTTCAAGTTTCTTGCATATTGCAGATAGAATTGCAAGCTGTAAAACGGCCTTGAATAAAAATATTATGAGTCCAACGATTGACAGACACGAGCTTCATTTTTCTATCTTATCCAAAAAACGTTTTTGGCGTTGACTAGATCAGTCTTGGTTATTACATATTATATTTATTTCTAATAATGAGGGTTAAATATAATAACTAATGTTAAATCTGATCAAGGCCTAAAAAGGTCATCCATAAGCAAAGTTTCAAATTCAAATGTCCCGCCAAAATCATTTTACTTTGACCCAAGTCCATAGAGGCGCCACATATATAAACTTTTTTTTTTTAAATGGGAGTTACCATTCTATATCCCCACTTAAACCTTATTCTATGCATTTCTTGTCAATCGCAGAAAAAGTTGTTTTCCAGGCATCTCTTTTCCAAATTGAACCAGGAAGCAAGTTGGTATTGGCTCTGGATATGGCACAAATAGACCAACAGAGGCTTTATGGATCCCTTTGGGTGGTTAATAATAATAATATTTTTTTTTCTTTTCCAGGCATAATAATAATACATTTATCTAATATTCTAGGTTTCTCTTTTCTATGTTTATTTTGTCTTAACGTCTTTTCCAGTTTTGTCATCATTACTTTGGACATTGGACAACATCTCTCGCGAACTGGTTCTCGTTCTAGAGATGGCCACGAATGACTGGAAATGGTTGACATGACTGCACGGATCCAGTTGCTGATTTATTGTTCTCTTTCAGGTGAAATTACATATGTGCGTCAATTCCCAAAAAACAGTTCATGATTTGACTGAATCTTCAAAGCAGGGAAGCCCCGGGGGAGCTAATGCCATAGTTGTCCTGGACCCCTTTTGTACCAAAACAACATTGAGAAATGTTTTAGTTTTTTTTTTGAGGAAAGTGTTTGAACGATTAGATTAATATTTCGCAAAGGGATTTAGGAAAGGAAAGATTGAAATTTAAGAAAAAAAATTAAAATTTACTTCCATAAAACTACTTCCCTGCAACTTGCTGGGAGAGGTGTTTGAAAATGTTTACATTCAGCAAAATCTTTGGAAGTACTCTTAGACATAAACTTGCGATAATTTAAGTTGCTCGTGTAAACTACGCTTTAGTTTGCAAAATGATACAGGGTACTATACCTACAATAAAAACTTACCAATTTTAGGATGTAAATATATTGAAACATAATTTAAAAGGACAATAACTATTCACAGATTATGTCTAAACCTAGTCTAGCGAGTGGACGGGAACAGTTACTAAGTCTATTACACAAATTACAAAATAAAATACTTTTGTCTTATCAATGGAATAAAATTGTTTTAAAAAGCATATGGCAGTATGTATTTAACATAAAATATACCTATAACTATGTATTTAAAATCACAATCTGAATACAAAATTTTCTAAATTGGACGGGAATTATTTATTTTTTACTTGGAATGTAATTTTCTTGGATCTTGGGTTTGAAAGCTTCAATCAACAGAAGCTAATCAAATCTAACAATTAACCTAAACACAAAAAACATCACAAACATCAATCCTGTAAGATTTTTCATTGTCGAAGAAGGCACACTTTACTGACAAAGATAATTTGATGCCTTCTCATTGTCAAAAATCTCTTAACTAAACCTTCTCATAAGTGAATTTAAAACAGCTAAGCCTAAAACACCAAAACCAGCTCTGTGGGTTACAGAAGAATTGCAATCGTCTCCAGTACATGTGTAAACACAAGAACGGTAAGTCAAAGTATCGCCTGGCTGTTTGACATAGTTGCAGTAATTTCCTAGATCGAGGGACGAACAGTACCTTTTGGTACCTATTCCTCCTATTAAAAAAAAAAATGTACATTAGACTCATTGCAGGATAAAATTGAGGAAAACATGCAATGAAAGGTGCACATGGGAGGACGAAAAAAGAGACAAATAATTCATGTTCTCAAACTCAGTTCCTTATTTTTGGTCAACTATTTTCCCTTTTTGTCCCGTTTTACTAAGGTGCTTAGTACGACTTTGTAATTTTAGTACTACATAGTTAGAATTTCTACTCTTAGGTGACTATATACAAACAGGCGGGTCAATTTTTTACTAAGAAGCCCAGGAGATGCATAAAATGTTGCTTTTTGATGTAGAGCTACTGGTGGGAAGTTTCTAGTAAATCACATTATAATAAACATTCCATAAATAATAATAAAAAAAGTGATAAAATAATAAATTAAAATTTTTAATTGAATCAGGTGAAATGGAATCGAGAATGGGATTCATTTTTACATCAATGTCAATCAATGCAATATTTATAACTCTGTTACTCTTTTATTTGAAAAAAGTATTTAATTTCCATTACACCTTATGTATGGATGTTCTCTTGTTATGATTGATAAGAAAAAATGTATTCAACTAACTAGAAATATATATTCACTACAAGTCATGAAAATTTAAATGAAATCGTGCTTGCTGTTTTTAAGAAAAAAAGTTATGTAAATCAATTGAAATTCAAAAAGCACTATCAAATTTTCAAAAACTTCCAAGCTAATGCACGGGTTCGTAAATCACCCTGTAGTGTAGAGTATCTGATAAGAGAACATCCTCAAATAAAAAAAAAGGCAAATTCTACTAGAAAATCACATCAAGTACCATCCAAACTGGTAGATTTGATACAGTACTGAGCTTCAAAGACATGGTCGCAACTTTTAGATTCGATCCCGCCCATATAAATCATGTCATCGGAACAGTCCATATTATCCGATGCCGAGCATTGGTAGCAGTTAATTGAGTTACCTAAATTATGGGTTAAATTTGTGTTAGAAACAAGATTAGTGGTAAACATGTACATATAAGCTATTATTAGTAAAACGACGTTAGTCCACATCCGATTGGTTCCTTATTAGTAAACACCGTTAAATCCAATTTGTGTACCTTCAAATCGACCGGTATGTTTAATACAATATTTAGCTTCATAAACGGCATCGCAAGGTTCCGGTTTGATATCGATATCCGAGCTGAGCCACTCGTTACACTGGAAAGGGTTTGAGGAATTGCTGCCGTTGCATTGGTAGCAATTAAGACACGAAGCTGTATGGGAAAATAAGGGTGAAGCTTGATTTTAAATTCCAATCGGAAAACTTGTAAGCTATCGCTATTAATTAAATTCAAATGAGGAGCACTCATTTGAAAGGCAAATGACTCTTGAAGTTTACCTTACCCAGATTCTGAATAATGAGTGTTTAATTGATTTTTTTATAGGTGATTGTAAAAGCATCAATTTTAATGGAACGGTTGGAAAAATAGGTTCCTACATAACTTTAACCAAAGCTTTTTTTTTTATTTTGCGGTTTTATAAGTTTTTACGGAGGTGGATGATTTATAAGAAATATTGAAAATAGTAAAATTACACTTGCAATCCCGGAAAACCTCTGCTGACTGGACTGGCAGTTTATATAAATTAAAATCCTGACCTATAGTTGATCCAAAACTAAATAAAAAATACTTTGGAGAAATTACTTCAAATATCATCAACTTACATTGGCTGCCCTTCTTTAAATTAAGTTTGACTTAATCGATACACATTTTGAATTTCCAAATTTTACTTGCAATATAGGTTAATCCATATAGTCAACCATCCAAGGACCTTTTTTTTCAGTTATACATGTAAACCCCATACTTTGTGAGTGGCTTGCTTACATCAAGTCCTACAACTTTTCCTCTACGACTTTTCTCGGAAATGGCACGTATGCGCGCAGGCGACTCGCAAACATGTCGATCTGACGTAGCTATGTTTCCTGATACATGTAGGTAAATCTAATTTTACGAATACTGTTTGATTTTTATGTCTAAATCACGGAAATCAACTTGGCCGACAAAAATAATGGCAAATTGGGGGAGTCCGATACCCCCAAAATGTCGATCTGACGTGGTTATGTTTCTTGATACATGAAAATCTAATTTCACGAATAATGTTTGATTTTTATTTCTAAATCACGGAAATCAACTTGGCCGACAAAAATAATGGCAAATTGGGGGAGTCCGATACCCCTAAAATGTTTGCGAGTCGCCTGCGCGCATACGTGCCATTTCCGAGAAAAGTCGTAGAGGAAAAGTTGTTGTAACTTGATGTAAGCAAGCCACTCACAAAGTATGGGGTTTACATGTATAACTGAAAAAAAAGGTCCTTGGATGGTTGACTAATATGTCCCTCAAAGCAGTCAGGCTACAAGTTTCTGCTGCTCTCAATGCCTAAAATCTTGTAAACCGGAACAAGAAAAAAACGACCTGTTTGGTTATCCCTGTAACTACTGCATAAAACACATCTGAAAAGCTTGTGCTCAGCTATCTGCCTCTGAAGTTCGCTGTCTTGTCATGCAAACAAGAGTAATGATCTTCTGATGCCTTGAATGTATGCTTTAGACCTTAAATGACATGTCAAAAAAATAGAAAGTGAGACCTAGAATCAGTGGCGGCTCGTGACAATCCAAACTGGTGAGGCCCATGGTCCATCGAGTTAACCCAAACAAACCCAAACAAAATTTTCAAGTGTTACGCCCAATATTTTTTTTTTGTATATTTCTAATAAAATTTTTCATTTCTTATGCCCGTATTACATCTGTGTATTTTTCCGTGTATTTATTCATGTAGTTCAGGGTGCCAACATTATTTTGTTTTCCATAATGCTGGTTTATGTTGCGTTTGAAGTTTTTCGGTTGTCACCCTGAACTACATGAATAAATACACGGAAAAATACACAGATGTAATACAGGCATTACAGTTGCAAAACAACAGCAGTAGGTACATACATAATTATTATTTTAATACAAATATTGAGTTTCAAATTAACAAAATAAATTCCAAAAAACAGTTTTTTAACCCGCAACAGACGAAAATAAAAAGTATGAGCCAATTAAATCACGCACTGGCATTTGCTACTTGTCACAACAGCTAGAAATGCAAGTTTTCTTATTAACAAGCCTAAAATTGTGCGCCTCAATGCCTATAAAAATTCGCTATCGTCTCACCTACAGTTGAAGGGTTGTGGTGGGGAGTGCCATGGCATCGCTTCGGCGTTCTTTTACGCACATGAGGCCAAAATTTTTGGGATTGCTATTTCATTTTTATGCTGTCCGGCAACGACTTGAGCGCCTATAAGGATAAAATTTTTTATTTTTTATTTTATTTATTGGTAGTAGCAAGGATACAAATTACAGAAGCAATGTTTGGTCCTAAACTAATAAACTCTGTTGTAAATTACAATATAATTTTCCCTTACCCATAATTTAGACCTACTTAAGCTACTTTAGTGCACGATAGTACTTATAGTACCGTGTGTGCACCCTTATACTTTAAAGAATATCACCCGAGGTTATACAAATAAAAAATTAAAAAATTATATAAATCACAAATCATATGAAAAAATACCCTAATACAAAAACACAAAATACACTATTGATGGTATTACATAAAGCAAGAATACAATTTTTTAACGAGTTGAATTTGTTCTTGTTATTAATCTAAATTTGATATTCAATGTGAAAGTCACTTTGAAGTATCCATAGTTTTATTTCTTTTTTACACTTGTTATAGGGTTGAGTTCTTATGCTAATAGGTAGAAGCGCGCGCTAAATTCAAGAAATAGTATTATACTTTAATGAAAATTCGATGTTTTGATACTTTTAATGATTGAAAATAGTTGAAAAACGTTAAATATTTAATAATTATTATTTCAAAATTTTACATCATTATTGTAATTTTTACATGTGAGGCCCGGCCTCAGTTGCTTTATACGACGAGCCGCCACTGCCTAGAATCGAAGGGAAAACTAACCCGGGATGTAGAAGATTTGTCAAGATCATTGAAGGAGACCGGTACCATCATTAGGCAAGAAACATCGAAGGAAATCAAAAAGTTTGCAAATTCCCTAGCAAGCTACATTCAAAGTGTGAAAAGGGAATTGGCAGATACCAGTGTAATGGTTGATTATATGCATCAAAAATAACATCCATGATACCCATAAGTAGACCTATGCTGACATGTTATCAATGTGAATGGAAAAAACTGAACAAATAAAATCAAATTTGCAAAATGAATTCAAGGGCGACCTTGAGGCTGAGAGCAGAAAATTCAAAAAGGATCTGCAGTGAATCTTCTATAGGACTAAGTGACTATGTAGTCGTACCAGCAAACACACAACTGAATGTGCACTTTAAAGATACTCACTCTGTCAAAAAGAGAAACTTCTGGACTGCCGACTATGACGCAATTAACCAATATACAGTGTGTTTCACGAAAATTGAAACAGAGGCGTTTTAGGATATATTAAGATCGATAAAAAAAAAACATTCGGACACGTCGTTTTCGTATTCAAGGGGGAAACTTTTTGACCCCATGGCTAGGGTGCACCTCCTGGGTGAGGTGAATTTTACTCCTATTTTTAAAATAGGGAAGATGGGTCGAGTGGTACCTTGTTTTATAGGTATTTAAATTCTCGTCACAACTGCGTTTTTTTTTTTCGAAAATCGAATAATTAGTTTTCAAGATATTCACTGTCAAAGTTGCCATGGGCTTATTAAGAAACAATCTTCTGGCCCTGTTATTCTCAAATTCAAGATAACATATTTACACTCCAGAAGATCAGCAGCAGCTGAAGTCTGACTTGGGGAAAGTAGTTGGGTGGTTTCAATTGAATAAAATGTCGTCGAATAACAGAAAATGTACTGCAGTTACTTTTACTAGAAATATTGATGAGCATTACCGACTTTAACCATATAGTAAAAAAGGCCTTCAAGTCATTGGGGTTTATGATCAGAAATAGTAAAAGTTTTCAGATCAACATAATGGACCGTTCTCATGCAATGAACAACAAGGATAGTTTATTAAAATTTATATAATAAAGAAAGAGACACATATCGGGTCTTCAAAAAAAAAAACAACCAAAGATTGCTATGGTTTTTTAAACGTATGTCTTAACTATATTTTTCTTTAATTTTGTCAATGAACTTTACTGTCAAAATATAATGTCAAAAATCCTGCCAAATAAAGAAACAGGAATGCGACGTACGTTTTTGAAATCAAAGCAATCTTCGATTGGTTTTTTTTTTTGAAGACCCGATATAATGACGCGCGATACCTGTGTGGAATGACTTTGATTAGTTCCACTTGTCAAATTGTGCAATTTCGGTTATGTTTCTATTTTTGTTTATTTTTAAACATAAATATGACAAATAATGTTTGCCCAGCGACTCTGTGTCTACGGGGCAACGATAAGGGGAATGCAGTAGTAAAAAAAATGGCTGATTTCATTTATAAAATACCCAGCTGCACGCGGAACTTTTTAGAAGTATATTGTATTGCAACTCGTACACGAAAATTGACAATGACCAAATCCACGCCACTGGATATTTCAATATGAATCGATATCCCAAGATGGGAGGATACCAATGAATTGCCAAATTGAGTTCAGAAATAAAATTGAAAACGTTAATTAGAAAAGGAGGAAAATATATTATTTAGGGATTCAAGACAAAGTTTGGCATTCTAAGTGGTGGGGATAGCACAAAGACCCAAAAGAGACAGAGAGATGTTGTCATACGAAAATTTTGTTTATTGTTCCGTCTATTTGTGTTTTGATGTCATTGGAGGATACAATGACAGGAGCCCTGGCCAGACATAAGGTGACGTTAGCCCACTGATAACCGCATGGTTCCCTGTGGCAACGGCGATTTTGCCAAAAACTCTACCAATCAGGTTCATCCAGGCATCTGATCCCGGCTGAATGCTTGCCAAATTGACAAAAGCTGATGGTATCTTTGGAAAATGTTCATTTTTTATATTAGACAAAATTGAAGAAATCAGTTATTAAAATAAGAATAAATCTAACAACCACGTTAGAATCTTTAGCGTTTCATTATTGTTATCTATATTTTGTTATTAAAAAATGGATTTTCACATGAACTATACTTCATGCCTATGGTTGGACCAAATCCAAGCGGCAGTAAATGACAAACGATGACAAACTGGTCATTTTCATTACAACCTATAAAATGTCCTCTATGCATGCGCACTGGTCCAGGTAGGGCGTTTCAACCAATAGGAAGGCTGGTGTTTGTTTACAATTTAGGTTATTTAATGTCATTTACTGCTGCTTGAATTTGGAAATTGTATAAAGTCTGTTTTTTTTAAAGATAATAGACCTATCTATTTTACCAGACAAAGAGGTAATAATACGAAAACTTCATTAAATAAAAAAAGACACAGAACGCTCATTGCGCAAGACGAGGCAAAATGTACCAAATTATGTTAGACTTACGTATAGCAATCCGTCCTTCTTATTTGCACAGGATAAAAAGGAAAGAAGAAAAACCGCGTGTTGTGCAACGTATTTGTCAATGAAAATGTCAAACAACTTTTGAATGACACTTGTCAAGTTGACTATCAACTTTAGATTTTTTCTTGTCAGACCACGTGCAATGAACAAGGATAAAGAGATGCCCAGCGTGCAAAACGATCATCTCACACCTGTATTAGCTAGCCAATAAAAAGACATTGCCTCGTGTTGCGCGCGCATACCAGGTAAAAATAGATAGGTCTATTCCCCAAGTCAAAAATTTAGTAACTATGTTGGCAACACAAGCATTTTCTACATAAAAATTTGAAAGATTGACAATTTTACATTGTATTGCCAACATAATGTCATTTTTCTCCGAATGACAGTAAAAGCGGCCTTTTAATGACACTTGACAGGATCAAAAGTTGTATTTTTACTGCCTAGGCAGTAAAAGTGAACTTTTACTGCCTAGGCATTAAAAGTGACATTGTTTTGTTCATTAATATTTTCTGTTTATATTAAAAATTATTTTTCACTTTTTAGTTCAATTTACTATAAAAGCGTGTTTTTTAGTTTTTTTAAACTATATTTATTATAATTAAACGTGTCAACATCGCACATTTACGTCAGAATTCCTTCCGTAGACGCAGAACCGCTGGGCAGACAATATGTGGGGGAAAAGTTTAGAAAAGTTTGAGCAGTACAAATTTGCGAGTGCTAACAAACCTCTAATTGTAAAGTATAACCATTATCAATTGAAAATCGCATCTCTATACTTCTATAGTAACTACTCAAAATTAGAAAAATACTTACCCCTTATAATAATATAAAATAATTTTTATATTTTTATGAGCGTACTGTAGTTTGTCACAGTCTTCAGGAGTTCTTATTATGCAGCTCATTTTGAGGTCGTCGGCAAACAACAAGAAAAGACATATGGTAAAACATTCGTGAATATCATTTACAAAGACATTAAAAAGGAGTGACCCAAGATTCAAATCAAATCAAATCAAATCAAATCAAATCAAATCGTTTATTTCCATAGACATATAGGTACAATGTATCGGAATTGTCAAATAAATAAAATAAAGGTAAAATATCATTCACAAAAAACAAAATCAAATTACAAAAATCTAAATGAAGTTATGATTGAAAAACTCAATCAAGAAGTAGAAAGGGCACTCAGCAAGCATGGCCCTAAGAGTCCCCTTAAAAATTTGAAAGCCCGTAGTGCTCTTAATGCGTTCAGGCAGATGATTATAAATTCTCAGTGATGTAACTTCAGGACCATCCCGCACCTGAGACAACCTAGCCAAAGGAACATACAATTTATCCGCGTTACGCGTTCTGTAGTAATTAACGTCGCCAAACCTTGCACAGCCACCAGACTTCTTAAAAACTCGACAAGCACACTGCAAAATATAGATATTTATGACAGTTGGTATTTTTTCCCTTCTAAAGGTTTCACGGCATGATTCCCTGAAAGGAAGCCTGAACATGGTTCGGATAATGCGTTTTTGACATATCAAAACCCTCTCGACACCGCAGGAGTTGCCCCAAGCGGACAATCCATAGGCCAGAGTAGAATGCACCGCTGCAAAGTAGAAGGTTTTTAAAGTATAAGTATCCACAAAATCTCTGAGCTGTAGGATGGCATAGTTGCTACGTGACAATTTAGTGCATACTGACTCAACTTGATCATCCCAAGACAAATGTCTGTCGATCACAATCCCCAAAAACCTGGAGGAGTCCTGCTGAGCCAGGCCAGTCGATCCCTCCCTGAGGAGTAGGCTTCTATCTTCGACCACTCGTATCGGAGTAAAAACCATGAAATTGGTCTTTAAGCCATTCAAACAAAGTCCATTTCTCTGGCACCAGCCCGCAATCTCAGCTACACATTTGCTGCCCTTCCAGTGCAGTGATTCATAGTCACGCCCAGTGACGAGTGCTGACGTATCATCAGCAAAAAGTGTGATAAAGCTGTCATCAACCAAAAGAGGCAAGTCATTAATAAATAAGATTGGACCCCTATGGCACCCCAGAGGTAACCTGAATGATTTTGGAGAGGAAATTGCCAATTTTAACAATCTGTCTCCAACCAGACAAGTAACTGTGAAACCATGAGATCAACAATCCCAAACAACCTAAGCTTATGTATTAACATGGTATGGGAGACCCTGGTTATATCGGGTCTTAAAAAAAAAAAAAAAACAATCAAAGATTGCAATGGTTTTTTAAACGTACGTCTTAGCAATATTTTTCTTTAATTTTGACAATGTCAGTCAATGAAATTTAATGTCAAAATGTCATGTCAAAAATCCTGACCAATGCAACGTACGTTTTCGTAACCAAAGCAATCTTTGATTGTTTTTTTTTTTTGAAGACCCGATATGTGTCTCTTTAGTCTCTTTCTTTATTGCAGAAATCTTAATAAACTATCCTTGTTGTTCATTGCATGAGAGAGGTCCATCAGTGATGTTAGTGGGTCATGACCAGCGCGCATGATGGCGGGTCATGACGGTCATGACCGTCACATTCAATGTGACCGTTGGTCATGACCATTTTACCGCATAGTGTGGAAATATGCAGTAAAGTAGACTGCATAGTAAACGGTAAAGTAGATTCGGTGTTTAAGTACACACAAAAATCCCTTCTCGTTCAGAAATTTCAATAATGCTTTCTTTGAGAGATATAGATGCTCATAGGTATAATTTTGTACCTAACACATGCAAAAAAATGCCTTTACTGCACTTAACGACTGCCGTTGCGTGCGGTGAATTATCACTTCTGTATTTGTTAGATGAATAGATAACTATTACTTATTTTTGTTATTTTATTTTACTTGCTAGGCTAGAACAGCTTTTGTTCACCTATTTTGTAATTTGTTGAAATTTCTTCTGTTCTGAAATCCTTGATAATTTGTCAAAACGTTATAATCATTAATTGATTATCCTTACTTTTAACCCATTTTTGATAGTGGCGTTTTAAAATGAAATAATTACTATGAGCTATGACCATCGTCATGACCGTCATGACGCAAATAACCGTCACGATTTTAAATGACCGTCATTTCACATCAATGAGGTCCATTGAACACTTCAAGAATATAATAAATGAAATATCTAAAAAAGTTGGTGAAATGGGGCGAATGTCGAAGAATCTAAGTTCTTGACTTCTTCGGCCAAACTAACGATCTATAAAACAGTAATTGCACCAATAGTCCACCTGTTGAATAAAGTTGTGTTTTTTTAAATGGGACAGCCCGTATATTATTTTTCCATTACATAGCTCTTTTTAAGCTGATTTCAATTATAAAATCCCTTTTTTCCAAACCCGAACAGGCCTATAGACAATGGGATCGGCATTGGGTGATACACAATGAAGTATTGGTCATTGATGTGCTGCACCCGTTTTAGTTAGTTTTGGATCAACTAGTCAATTGAATTTGAAATAATCTATAATTAAGAGGGTAATGAACTTTTCAAAAATGATATTTAAAACTTTTTAAGATGAAAACAATTTACTTACATTCAACTAGAAGGACTAGGAAGCTGGTCGCGGAGAGTAACGTCTTGCAATTCATCTTCTTGTATTATCTACTCTTTAACACAGTTCTTCAGTTTTTGTTTGTACAAATAAAATTGAAAAAATAAAACAAACTGACAATTAAATTAAATTCACATAACCACACCTTCCCAGTAAAGTAAATAAAAACAAATTAAAATTAAAATTGACAAGATGACAAATAACAGAATAGTAGAATCTGTCGACTGTCAAAGTATCATTCAAAAAAACTTACAACTGAAAAATGTCGCTTTAAAAAGAGAAAGCTACTATAGAATGCCCAACACCACAGCCCTCTACACTTACAAGCCATGAAGTTAAAAAGGCAACACCGCAATCTTACCGCCAAGTGGTGCTGTTTTATTTAACCTCAATTCCGCGTATGGTTTATTTACTTTTATTGATGATATGAATTCTTATCTCAATTACATAAAAAAGTAGTTTTCTTTGAAAAAATATTAGTAGTTAGTAAAATTATTGTAATATTACCAATATTTTGTACATATTAATCACACAAAATGCATCATATTGTACTAAAAAGTAAAAACAGTAATTCAATGAATAATAAAAATCTCTTATTCTTTCATAGGTAGATGATGACTGACAAAAAATAATAAGTGAAAACAACATAGTTGGCATGCTATATCTTTTCTTTTTACAATCAAGTAAAAAGAGTTGATTCAATAATATTCCTAATAAGTTTTTGTACTCACAACCTTCATCAAGTTTTTTGATACCTTCTTGAAGATAATACTGAGCTTTTTTAAAACAATAAATTGAATCTAAAGAAATGTCATTAACAAAAGTGTATCGAGTCAATAAATTTTCTATTTGGGACCACCTACTGAGTTTTCTACTACTCGGTAGAATCCACATAAGGTCACTACTTGTAATCTCATTGTCTCCAACAAAAATACTTACCACTAATTCTTGGCTAACACTTACACTGGAAACAATTTTCAAATTTTCAATATCACAGTCATATCCATCACGATCAATATTTAACATATAAAAATGTACAAATGTCGAAGATACTTTACATTGCCATTTATTCAGAGTTATTTTAGTTTCAAGAAGTTTTACAAAATTTTCAAAGCTTGGAATCGGATCACTTTGAAGATAATTTTCTACAGTTTCGGTATGTCTTTTAACAATATCACTTTTTCTAGCTTCAGGATTTTTTCGGATGGTAGGGGCAGGTCTATTTAAATATTTGGGCTGGTTTTCGAAAATATGTGGTACAGCGTTGCTTTTGAGGATTGGACGTTTAAGTTTGTGTTCTCGACTTACTCCTTCTTTATCTTTGTATGTTTCAAATCTAATGATTTCATTTTTTTCAAAATGTTTCGCACACACTACAGAATTTTTTGTTACCGTATAATTATCTCGGTGTATAGCTTTTAGCCATAATTTCTGTAATTCGGAAGTTTTTGGAAATGAAAATGTTGTTTGCAGTTCCTCAGTCTTCAGGGAACTCCTATAGTTGGATTTGCACCTCGGCACACAGTAGTTTCTTGGCATCTGGAACAAGTTTAAATATCTTAGATAATAATAATATCGAGATCTATACATGTGCTCTTGCACTTTGCAAAGTGGAAACAAATATTATATTGTTTTTATTTGCTTTTACCTTAACTCACCTTAATTTTTGCTCCTGTACCGATTGCAGTATTTGCTATAAATTCACAATCAAAACACAACTAATAATGGCATAACAGGTATGAACCAAATATAAACAGTAAGTAAACAATATATTGGTGTTTCTAGCCACTTTTTCGTTTGAAAATGCACCTCACTCTAGCAATAATAGTTGGGGAGCTGGCGTCAAAAACATGCAAGAGTTTTCGCAAGGCGGATATTTTCAAAATAGGTCGTACTTTAGTGCTAGAATGCTAGTGTACAGTCAGCGCTCACAGTTCCGGGACAGCTGGCTCTGGGACGCGGGCAAAGTTGTAATTTTAAGAAGCATGTAAACTGTTTTCTCAAAGCTCAAAATGTATAGAAATTTTGCACATTATCTGTTTGAAGGTCACAGATAACGTATGTAAATCGTCAGACGTCTAGTTCGTTGCAAAAAGGGGATCAGACGTCCTCAAAGTTCTTATTTTATGGCATTTTCTTCAAATATATTTGTCAAATACCTGCAAAAATATATTTTGACAGGACACCGAAGAAAATGAACAATAATAAAATAAACAATGAAAACATTACACAGAAACATATAACCTCAATAGCAAAATAGCACCATTGGCGACGTTGCCGTTATTTCCAACTTCATGGCTTGTAAGTGTAGAGGGCTGTGCCAACACTCAATGACTCAATGAAATGATGGAGATGGAATCCTCACTGCTCTATAAAAGGGTCCAAAACCCCGGCGCAAAAGCAAATGAAACTAGACTCTAATTTATCTACGTCAGATGAATGCATCCATTGAGCGGGGCATTCACCGGCAGTGATGTGCCTGTAGACTTAAGGTCTGTTCCCACAGGAGTCTCCGACAGTTTGCAACCTGTCAGAAACAATCGCTCAGCTGAGTTACAGATTGATCTTGGAACGACAGCATTGAAAACATGTATGGGCGATTTTTACTGACAGTTTGCAAACTGTCAGAGACTCCTGTGGGAACAGACCCAATGTCAACGTAAACAATTGATTGTCTACGCGTAGACAATTCGAATTGTTTACGTGAGCATTTGTCTACACATTGCCCCGAGAGCCCCCAAACGAAAGGCTGGAGATCTCGCCACCCCCATGACGAAGCAAGCGAGACTTGACCAAGTTGCCGGTAAGTTAAAATTGAATAATTTTCTTTTAAAATCTAATTTAATTGTTTTCAGGACCATCAACATCAGCCACAGGTCGGCGGTGCGAGGATTGCGACTTGGAGACTCCGATAAATCAATGGGCTGATCATCTTCGGAGTCTCCAGCACCGAGCCAACACCTGTGTGGAGCAGGAGGAAGACGTCAGCCTTGTCAGAACAACATTCAGGAACCGAATTGCTACCGGCTTTCATCAAAGCAGGACCTTACCAGCGTAAAGCACTTTTTGGGAAATTTCAAAGTGAAATTCGTCAAGCTGGTAGGGGATATGGTCAATAAATTTGGCCATATCAAAGTCGGTGTGGAACTTTTCGGTCGCTTCCTCCTGCAGGCGAAAGAGCAAGAAGAGGTCAAGTCGTTCAACGTCAAATTCCGACTGGTGAGCGATGGTGCAGATCTGGAGCAGCTGTTCCAGCAGTTTTCTGTCATCCTGGACAAGAAGTCCACAGAATTTCAGGAGAAAGAAAGTGGTATGTATTATTTCAATTGCAATTGTATATGCTAAATTATGTCTTTTACAGGCTGGACGCTCCAACAACTCCTCCATCTAGATATAAGTATTAATAAGGTGAACCCTCTAAAAGCCTCCTCATATCTACCACTGCCTAAAGAGATAGATGCGAAGAAAGCTGTCCTGAACATTCAAAATCAGGACCAAAAATGCTTCATGTGGTCAGTCTTGGCTCACCTAAATCCAATTCATTGGACTCAAAATGCAAATAGAGTCGTGAACTATATGCCTTTTGAGAACGAGTTGGACTTTACAGGTATGGAATTTCCGATTAAACTTAAAGACATTAGCAAGTTTGAGCAGCTCAATAATATTTCCATCAATGTTTATGGATTAGATAACGCTTATGAAAATGGTAGAAATATTATTGAAGTTGTTGGTCCCTTATACTTTACTCAATCTCGGAAAGCGAATCATGTAAATTTGTTATTAATCAGTAATGATTCTGGTGATAGTCATTATGGTTTAATAAGAAACATGTCTCGCTTGATCTCAAGTCAATTATCTAAACATGGTCAAAAGTATCTCTGTGATGGTTGCTTGGTGTATTTTTCAACAGAGCAGAAATTAAAAACTCATCAAGAACACGATTGTGCTCATGTTTCAGTTAAATTACCAACAACAGATTTGAAGAAAAATAAATACGGTGAAGAGGTTCCCGAGAATATTCTGAAGTTTATAAATTTCGAAAAGAAATTAAAGGTGCCTTTTGTTTGCTATGCCGATTTCGAGACAATCATTGAACCTGTTGATGCAGAGGAAAATGAGCTGGACTCCGAAAATTCCTATACCGTTAAAACTCACAAGGCTGTTCCTTATTCTTTCGCCTACTACATTAAATGCGATTTCGACGATTCTCATTCGATTTTCAAGACTTTCAGAGGACCTGATGCGCATAAAGTTTTTGTAGAATGGTTAGAGGCTGACTGTAAATCAATCTATAATCAATTTATGAAAAACATAGTGCCTATGCATCCTCTGAGTCAAGAACAAGAAAATGAGTTTCGCAATGCGGAAAATTGTCATATTTGCGAGAAACCATTTAAAGTAGAAGACGAAAGAGTAAGGGACCACTGCCACTTTACAGGTAATTTCCGTGCTGCAGCTCACTCTGTATGCAACCTAAATTTTAAAACCCCAAACTTCATCCCCATCTTCTTTCACTGTATGTCTAATTTTGATTCTCACCTGTTTGTCAAGGAGTTGGCTCAAGAAAACGAGAGATTGGATGTTATCCCTCAAAATAAGGAGCGGTACATTTCATTTACCAAACATGTTTTGGTGGATAAGATCCCTCTCGATCAATCAGGCAAACAAAAACAGGTATTTTTAAAATTACGCTTCCTCGACAGTTTTCGATTCATGGCATCAAGTCTAGATAAATTATCACAAAATTTAAAACCAGAACATTGTCGAGAAGTCAGAAAATTTTTTCCCGCGGAAGATGAGTTTCAGATTATTCGTCAGAAGGGTGTTTTCCCGTATTCTTACGTAGATTCATTTTCGAAATTAGATGACATCAAGCTCCCATCTATTGATGGCTTCTATAACGATCTTAGAAAAGAAGGCATCAAGCAGGAAGATTACAAGCGTGCAAAGAAAGCATGGAACTTGTTTAAATGTAAAACCTTGGGTGAATATTCAGATATTTATTTAAAATCCGACGTTTTGATTTTAGCTGATGTTTTTGAAAATTTCAGAGACGTGTGTCAAGCAACTTACGGTCTAGATCCTTGTCAGTACTATACAGCTCCAGGGCTATCTTTCGATGCTGCTCTCAAAACA